TCGTTCCCCAAGAAAAGAAGGGTCTGCGTTGTGGAGCTGTAAAGAATATAGGCCCCCCCCCAAGCTCGGAGTCCCTCGGAAGCCAGACTGAGCAGCATGCCTGGCTGCACCCACATACCTTCGTTCTCGGAGATTACAAACTCTAATTGTAAATCAACTGGAATTCAAAGCAAACCTATCTAAACATTTTCAAAACCAGAAATTAAATAACAGGGTAGTAATGATTTTGGGAGAGTGTCTGAATCCTGGTGTTCAACCTCCCATCACAGGTCATTTCAAAGTAAAGTGCTGCTGGGCAGAATTCAGCTAACATATGTGTTTACAGCTGATCTTGGTTCATGTGGACACTCTCACATGCGCACACATGGCTTGTACAGCCATGAGGCTGACCGTCTGGGAGCCCCTTGGGGACGCCTGGTGCGAGGTGTCCCTGGGGCGAGGCAGGTGACAGTGTGTGGTGTCTCACACCCTCCTGAGGGCGGATGTGGCCACCTCTGTTTCACAGCTAAGGTGACGGAGGCTCAGAGATCATAAGATATATTTCCAAGTTCAATCTGCTAATACAGGGCTTAGATTTTACATTCCTTTTTCTATCTCTCTCTCTGCTCTTTCCTTTCCTTCCTTCCTTCCCAATTTTTCTGGTGCCATCGAAGCTCACCGGCATCAGCTCCAAACTGCACTGTCATAGCGCCTGGCCTGGCCTGCCAAGCGTGTGACCCGAGCACACACAGGGCCTGCCAGCAGCCAGAGCTGTGCCTGGGGGTGGTGTCCTGCAGCTCTGGGCACTGCCAGCCCCTGGGCTCCTGGGATCAGAGCTGACTTTTCTGGTTGATGTTGGCTCTTTTATGGCCCTTCTTGGCTGGCCGGCTGGCCCCTCAGGGTCTATAATTAGCAGCAACGCTGGGCCCTGGCCCTGGCGGGGGATCAGGTGTCTGTTGGTCCACAGGTCCCAGAGCAGGACTGTTGGGGCCTGGAGATTATCTCCGGGCTGCAGTGCCCAGTGGTCTGGTTTCTGACCCAGGAAGTCTCTTGCCTGTCCGACAAGGGTGTCTGTGTCCCCCTGGGAATCCTGTGTTTTTCTTTCTAAATCTGGTACACCTTTGCAGGGCCTTTGAATGGTGCACGAATGTGTCTCCAGGTCATGGGGAGCTTCCAGCCACCCCTGACTAGAGGACACGGTGGGTCTGAAGACACTGGGCAGCACACAGAGCTGGAGTGAGGCGCAGCTTTCTTCTCCTGTCAGGGCAGCGGGGGCTTCCTGGGGACAGGGACACAGCCTGAAGATGAGATGAGATTGACTGAGACATCGCCCCAGTTGCCGGGCATCAGCCCCTAAAATGTCCCCTGGGCCCTGCCCAGTTTGGCTCAATGGATAGAGCATCAGCCTGAGAACTGAAGGGTCCCAGGTTCAAGTCCAGTCAAGGGCACATGCCCACATTGCAGGCTCGATCCCCAGCGGGGGGTGTGCAGGAGGCAGCCAATCAATGATTCTCTCTCATCATTGATGTTTCTCTCTCTCTCCCTCTCCCTTCCTCTTTGAAATCGATAAACATGTTTTTTTTAAAAAACAATAGTAATAATAAAAAATGTCCCACAGGTCGTGGGCAGAGGCATCCCAGGCCCATGCTCTCATGCAAAGTCCTGGCTATTGGCACTGATGTGGCAGGATCCTCAGCATCAACTTTGAGGTCCCATGAGGGGTGGACAACCAGGACCAGGACGTTTGGAGAGAGGGCTTAGGAGGGTCTGGAGCCTCCTGCGATCTGTGAACGGGGTTTGGAGTCAGATTGAATTCCTGTCTGCCGCCTCCTAGCCATGCGACTCTGGGCCTCAGCTTCTTCAACCATAAAACAGGGACAGTCAATCCTCTAGGGCAGTGGTCGGCAAACTCATTAGTCAACAGAGCCAAATGTCAACAGTACAACGACTGAAATTTCTTTTGAGAGCCAGATTTTTTAAACTTAAACTATATAGGTAAGTACATTGTTATTCACTTAATTAGGGTACTCCTAAGGCTTAGGAAGAGCCACACTCAAGGGGCCAAAGAGCCGCATGTGGCTCGCGAGCTGCAGTTTGCCGACCACGGGTCTAGGCCGGTCTGCAGTGAGAATAACAGGAGCTGCTCATGGACACAGACACCAAGGAGCAGGGTCAGGACTGCCCTCCTCAGAGGCCCGGCCTCTTGCCTTCAGAATCAGCAAGGATCTGCTGCTGTAACAAATCTCAAAGCAGCAATGGCTCAAACAGAGTCTTTTCTCTCTCTCTCTTGAAAATGCACACACCGCCGGTATTCTTCACTGGCCAGTGGCTCTCCCCACAGATGGCTCAAGGACCCAGGCTGCTTCCGTGGGTGGCTCTGCCATCTTATAATTGTGCGGCTTCCGAGGTCACCATGTCCATCTGCGTTGTGGTGGGAGAGGAAACAGCATGGACGGGGCACACGGAGGAGTCCTGCCGGCCAGGCTTGGAGGCCGTAGACAGACGTTAGGCTCGTGTCACCTGACTCGCCCTTGGTCACCTGGCCACTTCTGACTTCAGCCCATGGAGGAGTGTCGCCCAGCTCTGCCTCAGGAAGCAGTGCCTCCTGCCTGGACACAGCGGCACTCTGGAAGGTTCTGGAGGAGGCCCCAGGAGAAGGGAACTGCTGGGAGCCCCAAAGAAATGAGGCCCTGATTCTTGGTTCGGGTTCCTGGCCCAGGAGCAGATGCTGAGACGAGGATGGGAGTGCTCGCTGCGGGTTGGAAGAGACCCCGCCTTTCATGGCAGAGGAGAAGGGCGGGGAGGCAGCAGAGGGAAGTCAGCTAACCAAGGGCGTTTCTCTGGCCAGCTACACGGGGGCAGCTGGAGCCTAAACCTCAGGGCCCTGGGAGCCAGGGTGGCACGGAGCCTCAGAGCCATCCCGTGAAAGGAGTGGGGAGCTGGGTATGGTACCCCCATCTGTCAGTGGTTGAGGGCTGCTCCTGGGGGTGTCATTCCCTAGCCCTGTGGTCTCTCCTGTGGCAAAGGGAGCCTGGGCCGGACAAGCAGGTGCCGGCAGGTGGGAACTGGAGGTGTGCTCCGAGTGGTCAGGGTTGGGGGCCTGAGTGGGCACTCACAGTGTCTGCTACACGCAGCAAATGTGCAGGGACCTCAGTTCCCTCTCTCAGTTGGTCCCCTGAAGGGATAGGAAGGGATCCACTCCCAGCCTGCAGCCCTGAAGCAGGGTCAGCGGGCCTGGAGGCAGCTGCACGGCCAGGGGTGGGCACTGGCTCGGAGTCCGCGGACCTGAGCTCAGCTCTGGAGCTTCTTGACAAGAGACCTTGAGCAAGAAAGCCATCTCCTCTCCCAGGCCTGTCTACTCTCTGCTCACTTAGCGACACTCCCTGGAGGCCCACTAAATCCGTGGCCTGGCACCGCGCTGGGCCCTGAGGGCACAGCTGAGATAGGATCACTGCCCAGCCCTCCCGGGGCTCCCAGGGAGGGACACTTGGTGCCAGGGCTGCTTAGTGGGAAAACAGGAGGGGCGGGTTCTGAAAATCAGAGAGGACTCCCCCCGACCCCCAGCCTCAGGAGGCAAAGTCAGTTCCCTCGTAGCTGTATTTACTGAGCATCTCACCAGGCCCCGGGCGGGTGCAGGAGTCTCTACGCTGGAGATCCCGGGTCCTTGTCTGTAAAGTGGGGATGCTCACTGGCCCCTGGAAGACAAAACCAAGATCGCCTGAGAATGTGCGGGGCCCGGCGCGACAGAAAAATACGAGCTCCTTGATCAAAAATTAGCGAAGTTTCAGGGCAGTAACAGCAGAGCATGGAAACAGGACGGGGTGTGCCTGCTCCCCCAGGAGATCCCACTGCAAACAGATTTGGTAAACTGCCAAGTGCAGGATCCACATGAGAGGTGGTGGCTAGCCAAGGACGCAGGGAGTCCGATGGGCCCAGGGGTGAATGGCACCCACTGGGGAAGGCGGGGCCCCATGGAGAGGCACTCAGAGTCTTGACAGCTGTCGCAGACCTTGGGAGTCAGACAGACTGTCCTCAAAAAGGGACAGCCAGTCCCCTGACCTTGGCCGAGGCCAGACACCCTGCTCCCAGGTCAGAGGGCTTGGCAGCCTCAGGCACAGACTGGAAGCACAGACTGTACGTACATGAGAATTGACTCATGATGACACCCAGTACAGGGCAGCCGGTCAAGGTTACGGTCCCAGCTGCCCGGGCCCATGCCTCCCCCCACCCATGGCAAATGCTGCTCAGTGCGAGGTGCTGCCATGTAGCCAGGAGCTACGGGTGCCCCAGCACGCTCAGCTGGGCCCACGGCTGGCCCTCCAAGGAAACCCTTGGGATTTCATCGGGATGCAAACGTTCTCCTGGCTCTGGGATACTTGGATCTTTCAGCGGGAGGCACCTGAATCTCTGAAAACACTGGGTTTCTACTTGGGGCCAATCTGCGGACGACAGCCCCAGAGCAGCTTCGAGCAGCCTGGCAGCAGTGCTCTGCTTTGGGGAGTGAGGGGCTTACGCAGGCGGAAAAGCGAGCAAAGGTACACGTGGTCCAGCAGAAGTTACCACAGGAGACATATTCTCCTTCCACGATTAACAGTTTTACATCAAATGGAAAAAACTTACAGGATAAGGTCGGGTCTGGAAACAATCAAGTGGCCTTGAACGTCTTTGAGATGCATTTGATCTGGATGAGGGAAGCGCAGGCACCGTTTTCTGAAACCACGGACCTTTAGATGAGACGCTGTGGTTGTACATATGTGAGCATCCCCCACGGCTGCCTGGGGAGGAGGTGAGATAGGCTCTCTCTTCTCCCCGGTCACTGATTATTCAGAGGAGCCCACGGACCCTTTCCTTTCCTCAGGCCCAATGATGCCCTTGAAATGCACATTGACCTGCTCCTCATGCCAACTGGGCCCCTAGACCCCACGACCCAGCTCCCAATTCTTAGCTCATCTCCTAAGGTGCCTCCTGCCCCAGCCCAAGTGCTCCGTTGGTCAGGAGTCGGGGAGGGCTCTGCTGGCTTCTCTTCTCAGGGTCTCCTGAGGCTGAAGCCAAGACCCGCCTCTCATCGGGAGCCTCCGGGAGCGTGTTCAGGTTGTTAGCAGAGGTCAGTTCCTGCAGCCGCAGGACGGAGGTCCCGTCTTCTTGCTGACTATTGGCCGAAGACCACTCTCGGGGATCTCTGGGGTCTTTGCCTCATGAGCCTCCACCTCAGCCTCCCTCACCTGAATCCCGCTCACACTTGAATCTCTCAGACTTGTTCTGCTACCAGCCAGAGAAGATGCTTTGCCTCCAGGGGTCCTGGGAGTAGATCAGACCAAGTGGGAGGTTTCCGTGTCTCACTGTCCACAGGTCAGAACCTTAATTACATCTGCAGAATCCCTTTTGCCCTGAGGGGTGGCATCCTCACAGGTATGATGCTACCCATAGTCACAGGCCCGGGCCGGGCTAGGAATCGGTCTATCTGACCCCCCTTCCTGGCTCTCAGGACACCACGCCCTCCTGGTTCTCTCCTTTCCTCACTGCTGCTCCTGCTGGTCCTTGGCTGCATTCGCCCCCAACCGCCAGCATTTTTGAAGAACATCAGGACTCCCTAAACAAGTGATAATAAAGAGAGGCCTGGGTCCAGGCCACCCAGGGAGCTGGCAGAAGTCACCCCAGCTGGGAACTCTCAGGCCCTGCTCGGGCAGCTAATGTCCCAGGGGTTGGGGGCCTTGCCCATCAGGCTCAATGGATGAAGCTGTGGAGAGCAGCTACAGCGTTTGGACAGATTCAAGCCTCAGACTAATGAGAGGGCACGATCCTCTTGTGGCAAAGCCACGTGTAAGTCCCAGGACAATTATAGCCAAAGGCTATCCTTGTGAGCTTGACCTACGGTCCAAACCTGTGATCCCACGTGGCTGAGTGATGTGGGCCTGACAGAGTTCAGGTGCATGTAACTGAGTAGATTCAAACCCACCAGAACATTGTAAACATTGACCACGCCCTTACTTTGCCTCGTGGAATCCGGCTATGAAATAGACTCGGCTTGCAGGCCAGGGCACTGTCTCTCTAATCAGAGGGCAGAGTCCCACCCAGCCCCAGCTTTATTCTCTTGTCTGTCTTTTCTAATCCTTCACGCCCTCGCCCCCTCAGGCTCACCCATGGCTGTGCTGGCGCAGCACATGAAGTGACCACCAGGGTCAGGTAGTTTCCTGGAGACTTTGGGAAGTGCTGAGTTACCCTCTGAGCACTGGGGGTGAATGTGGGTTGGTGACCCAGACAGACTGGCCCTTTTTCCAGCTCGGCCAGAGAGTGTTCAAGACAGGGCCTGGCCTTGAATAGAAACAACTGGGGACCCGAAAATGGCACAAAGGTTGGGCCGGGAGTGGACCTGCACCAGGCAGAATAATAGCAATAATAGGAACTTTTTCGATCACTTACAATGTGCCAGGTGCTAAGTGTATGTGTAAATATTAGCTAATTTAATCCATGACTATTTATGAGGTAGGTGCTACTATTAACCCCATTTCACAGAGGAAGAAACTGAGGCTGAGTGAGTGAGGTTAAGGGACTCGCCCCAGGCCAGGCAGTTCATGATGGGAGGAGCTGCTGAGGGAGGTCCCCTGCCGTCAGTATCGCTGCCATGCTGGAATATGACTCTATCGATCTAGCATGAATAAGGAGGTATATCAGCAAGAGGCTCCATGTGGGGAAGCAGTGGAACTAGGACTAAAAGAGGAACACTACAAGGCGACATATGTGGACTCAACATAATGGCAGATGTCCCAGCCGTCAGAGTGGCCCAGGGGTGAGCAATGGCTGTCTTGGGAGGGAATGAGCTGCCGGTCGCTGAGTAGATGCAAGTTCTCTTTTTCTGAGGCCCTTAATAATAGACACTGTACTGAGCACTTACATATGTCATCTTTAGGTCCTTGATCACCTGGGCACTATTGTCCCCAGCTTACAGATGAGGAAACTGAGGCTCAAAGAGATTGACTTATTAGTGGTTATGCAGATGGTGAATGGGGGAGCCATGACTCAAACCCAAAGCTCTGCCTGTGTCCATACATCTACTGAGTGCCTGCTGTGTGTCCAGCAGGGACGGACCATTTAGTCCCAGACCTCACCCTCATGGAGATCGCATCCCAGTAGGAGTGAGACAACCTGGAGTAATGAGTGCTGACATAGAATCAACCAGGACAGGTGAAACCAAGAGTAAGCTGGAGTCAGGGAGATTGGGGGTCAGGGAGTCCACTCTGAGGTGGTGGCATCTGAGCTGAGACCTGGAGGGCGAGAAAGCTTGGAGAGCTTTATGAAGAGCTGGGAGAACAATGCTCTGAGCAGAGGGAATTGGAGAGCTTTATGAAGAGCTGGGAGAACAATGCTCTGAGCAGAGGGAACCTCAGGTGCAAAGGCCCTGAGGTGGGGCAGGGGAAGACCAGTGTGGGAGGAAAGGCCAAGATGGGGCCAGATCATTCAAGGCCTGGTCAGCCAGGGTTTGGCCTTCATTTGAAATTATTGGAGGATTTTATACCAGCAGAGCACTACAGACAACTCATACCAGCCCCTAAAACCACCTCTTAAATCTTTGCAAGCAGGTTAACTGTTAGTAGCTTGAAATCAGCCACAGTGGGAGCATTTACACCATGGAAAGTGGCATTTACACCATGGAAAGTGGCATTTACACCATGGAAAGTGGCATTTACACCATGGAAAATGGCATTTACACCATGGAAAGTGGCATTTACACCATGGAAAATGGCATTTACACCATGGAAAGTGGCATTTACACCATGGAAAATGGCATTTACACCATGTAAAATGGCATTTACACCATGGAAAGTGGCATGCGCCACAAATCATGGCTCTATGCTCTGGGCAGTAAGGTGGTTGGTTATTTTTCTGCATTGCACTGGCTTTAGGCAGGGAAATGGGGAGATTGGGCTGCACTTTAAGGAGAACTCTGGCTGCTGGGTGGAGAATGGCGAGCGGGAGGGGAGGGTGTTGCCCTGGTGCATGCAGGAGAGATGGGGCTTTGGACCAGGGTGGGCCGGTGGATGGATTGGAGCGATTTTGGAAGCAGAAGCAGCGGGCCTTGCTGAGGCTCTCCCTGGTGCAGAGCAGGGAGGAGGGTGTAGGAGCCAGGCTGGGGGTCTCACAGGAGCAGCAGCCACAGCACCGCATCCTGGGCCCTGGGACTTGCTTCCTCCTGCACACAGGCTGGGAGGGAGTGGAAGGGACAGATCTCGGAGAGTCTATCTCCATGGAGGGTTGAGGGGATCTAAGCGTTGTCTGGTCTTAGCAAACTCCCAGCAGAATAAATAGGCCATGCTTGCCTTCCCCGCACCCACTCAGCCTCAGCCCGCAGCCCCCAGGCTGCACACCCCCCACCCTTCCCCAAACCACCTTTGGCAGCCAACCCAGCAACAGGGCTCCTGGGCTCCAGCCCCGCCCTCTGTCAGATGCTCTCCAGGAAGGGTCCTTGCTGGCGGGTCACTGCCACGTGGCCTTCTGGAGGGAGAGAGAAGGGAAGGCAGAGAACAGAACGAAGGCTGACTGAGTGCTACTGCACGTCAGGCTCTGAGCTGCTTGCTCACCTCAAAGAGGCGCGATCATAGACGTTTCCCCTCATGCCCTGCCCCTAGGATAAGGCCTGCAAAGTTTACTGGCCCCCTTCTAGACTGTCTTCTGCACACGCCCACTCATTAATTTTTTAAAATGAGGCGATGCTAAGCGTTCCGTGTTGATTATCTCATTTAATCCTGGGTGCTGTTACCTCGCCGTTGTACTTTAGGGAACTGAGGCTCAGAGTGGTTGTGCACGTTCCCTAAGGTCACACAGCCGGCCGTCTTGCCTGGCTCCACAGACTCACTCTGCTTCCTCAGCGTCACTTACTGCTGGGGAAGGCTGGCCATGTCCTCGTGGGGGCATTTGGGGCTGCAGGGCAGTCGGGGTTGGAATTCTGGGCGGCGGGCCTGATCTGGCCCATCCTTCTGCTGTGCCGTGAGACTCAAGCCCTGGGGTCAAGTTCCAGCCCCAGGAGTCCTTGTTAAGGCTTTAAAGGGGGTGGAGGGGGGATTCTACTGCCGTGTGATTGGGGCTCTGCCCTTGAAGTGGGCTCCCAGCTCCCAGGGTTCCCAGCTGTCTGGAACGGATGGCCTTGCCTTGGGTCTCTCTCCCAAAGCCCAGGGGACAGAGCCAGGCTGGGAGGTCTGGGACCTGGGCCCCGCACCAGCTGTGTAACCTTGGCAGTTCCCGCCTCTCCCTCAGCCTTGTCTTCTCTCTTCTGAAGTTCCTTGGAGCCCCGTGTAAGCCCCCAATTCTTCCCCTGGACAGGGAGGGTTGGGTCTGCAACTTGCTGGTGGAGGGGTGGGGAGGGGGGAGAAGGGGGAGGGGAAGTAAGGAGGGGAAAGGGTGTGGGGGAGGGGAGGAGAGGGAGGAGGAGGAAGAACCAGAGTGTGAAGAGGGCTCTGAGGCAGGTAGTTAGGGAGGACACAGGTTCAGGAGTCCGTAGACCTGGGTTCAGATCCCAGCACAGGACATGTGCAGGGCGCCTGTGCTCAGGACAGCCAGTATTTGGACTTACGTTCTGCTGTTGCTGACATGAATTTTCATGTTGCATTGGGCCAGCCCTGCGACCCGTTATTAGCCGCGTGTCCTTGGCAAGTTACTTCCCCTCAGTTTTCTCATCTGCAAAATGGAGCAGGGCATCCACCACCTTAAAGATTGTTTGGAGAAGTACATGGGCGACTTCAGGCAAAGGGCCAGGCAGGGTAAACCCATGATCCGCGTCAATCCCTGGCCATTGGACAGTCGCTCCTTAGGGCCTGACAGGGAGAACTCTCACAGGAGCAGCCGCGGTCCCTCTCCCAGCCTTGTCCCCTGCGCCCTGGACACTGCCCAGGACACCTCGGGCCAGAGATACAGTCCTTCCTGGGAAGCAGATGGCTCCACCATCCCTACACCCCCTGCCTGTGGTGGTGCCGGGTCAAGTGGGTTAGGGCCCGGCAACTCAACCTCCCAGAGGGTCCTGGAGTTCTGACAGAAGGGTTAACATCTCAGCTCAGTGCCCAGCCGCAGGGCTCCGTGGTTGAGCATCAACCTATGAGCCAGGAGGTCACGGTTCGATTCCTGGTCAGGGCACATGCCCGGGTTGTGGGCTCAATCGGCAGAACGCAGCCGATCAATGATTCTCTCTCATCATTGATGTTTCTATCCCTCTCTCCCTCTCCCCTCCTCTCTGAAATCAATAATTTTTTTTTTTTAATCTCAATTTCCCAATAGTGAGACCTTGGGCGAGTTACTGAACCTCAGGGCCTCAGTCTCCCCACCTGTGAAGTGAGGGCTCTGCCAGGTGGTGTGTCGCATTAGGGTGAGCCCTGCGGGAAGGTGCTCAGCACTGTGCCCACAGAGGTTGGCCGCCACCGCCGCTGGCCGCCTGCCTCGTGTCCACCCTGAGCGGGCGCACCCTCTGCAGCCAGGCTGCCCAGGCCACGCCCTCAGCAGAAACCCTCCAGCTGCCGCTGCCTCCCCGCCTGGCTCATCTGAGCCTCCGTGTGCTGAGCTCAGCATCCCCTTCTCCTTCTCCAGCCCGCAGCTGGGGTTGCTCTGGGAAACCTGCTGCCCCCATTGTGACAGGACGGCCCAGGGGCGGATCTGCAATGGACAGGTCACGGGACAGAAGGCAGCATTGTGACGTCACAGCCCACGGGTGGGTCTGCAATAGACAGGTCACGGGACAGAAGGCAGCAGTGTGATGTCATGGCCCACAGGCGGATCCTGCAATGGGCAGGTCACGGGACAGAAGGCAGCATTATGATGTCACGGCCGGCTGTGGTTTGTGCTCCTGGACAGTGAGTCAGATAGGCAGCTTCCTCCTCCCAAGCTCAGGTACCCATGTCTGATCTGGGGGTGGAGACGCTGAGCAGGCAGCCCCTTACCTCCTCTCCCGGCCCCTCCCCTGTGCGGGGGCTGGGCCAGGAGGCGCCCAATGCATAGCGCCCTGGGAGGCTTTCTTCTCCTTTTGGTCATAACTGGGGGCCACACTTAGGCGAGGGGCCCAGGAACTCTTTGCAAGGTGAGTGGAAGCTCCCCGGTAACTAGACCAGCTTCCCTGCCAACCACGAGCTTATTCAAAGCTTATTCAATGGTCTGTCTCGTCTCCACTCCAACTCGGTCAGCTCTGTGTAAGCTCAGAGTCTGTGGTGTCAGCTGAGTGCGTGCCTGGGCGGAGGGATGGGCCGGGAGAGAGACGACAAAAGCGCCTCTCCCTCTGGGGCAGCTGCTGGGCCAGCCCAGCTCTGACCCTGGCCATCCTGGTGCCACGGAAACCAGCACCTGTTGGGAGCCCGGCATGTCGGTGCTCGCGGGTCCTGGTGGTGATGGGGCCGTCCCAGTTATGGGGTGACAGGGCATAGGCTGCTCCAGAATGGCACGTTTGGTCCTTCCAGAGCTGGGGTGCAGCTCAAAGAACCCAGATTTTGGATTTAATGACCCCCGAGTCCAAATCCAGTCCTACTGTGTGTCCTTGAGCTGGGCACCCGGCCCCCTCTGAGCCTGTTTCCCTTTTGTGAAGTGGGAGTGTACCTGGCCACCGAGGACTGTCAGGAGCACCAGAAGACCAAGGCCGCTGCCCTGCGTGCGGCCATCACCTTCCTGCCTGGCCCCCATGACCCTCGCCCTCCAGAGCGGCCTGGCGTGGTGAGGGGCAATGCCAGGGGCCATGGACACGGGCCAGGCGTCCGGTCCGAGCAGTACTGGCGATGGCGACAAGGACAGATACCTGCAGGTGCTGTTACAGGAACTCTGCCAGCTCCAGGCCAAGTATGAGTTTTCCAGGCCCCGCCAGGCCCCCAGCCTCATCCCCAGAGCCACCTGCCATGGGCTGAGTGGCTGGGACGGAGCTAAAATGCCAGGAAATGGGGGAGGAGAGTGAGGCCTGGATAAAGGGGGAGGGGCAGCTGAGGCAAGGGGGTGGAGGGGTTGGCTACTGTCCTTTCACCTGAGACCCTGGGTGGGTCTCAGCCCTCCACAGGCAGGTCCCCCACCACAGAGGCAGGACCCCCATCACGGAGGCAGGATCCCCATCACGGAGGCAGGGTCCCCATCATAGAGGCAGGGCCCCCATCACGGAGGCAGGATCCCCATCACGGAGACAGGGTCCCCATCACGGAGGCAGGGTCCCCATCACGGAGGCAGGATCTCCATCACGGAGGCAGGGCCCCCATCACAGAGGCAGATCCCCCATCATGGAGGCAGGATCCCCATCATGGAGGCAGGGTCCCCCATCATGGAGGCAGGATCCCCATCACGGAGGCAGGGTCCCCATCACGGAGGCAGGATCTCCATCACGGAGGCAGGGCCCCCATCACAGAGGCAGGGCTGTGGGTGCCATCCTGTGCACCTGTTGGCCCAGCCCCTCTAAAATCAGGCTGCGAGGTTGCCGCCTGGCTCTGAGTGGAGACCCTGGGTCCTCGCCTCCCAGGGGCCCTTGGATTTCAGGCCGCCCACAAAGCCTGGATTAGATGCAAACGGCTGTGTCTGAGCAATTTTTAGGGAAGAAAGGTCCAAGTCCTTCATCAGGTTCTAGAAGGGCTTCCCGGCCCCAGGAGGTTTAGCACCGAAGCTCATAGGGCCCCGCGTGCTAGTTGCAGGAAAAGACAAATTTTTCCTGCATTTTCTAGGATCGTGTGGATGAGAACATGGGGCCTGAGAGGCAGAGTGGCTTGCCATGGATCACTCTACTGTCACTCAGAGATACCCCCCCTCCCCCCATCGGCTCAGCCAGCTGGCGGGGGCAGGCCCTACTCTGCCCTCTGCCCTCTGCCCTTGACTGTTGACCTTGACTAGGCCCAGGGTGGAGACTCATCTTGCTTAGGGATCCCCTGAGAGTCAGACACAGCTGGGCGGCAGCACGTGGCCCCCTCCCCTCCAGGGGCTGCTGGGTTCCTGACCTCAGACTGGGTGCTTATGAGGTACTAGGATCCCCAGGCACAGTCCCGGCCAGCCTGTGGGGGAGGGTCTCTCACGACCCCCATCGCAGATGGGCACAGACAAGTAAAACCCCTGCCAGGTCACCAGCTAATAGTGGCTTAAGCCACCCAGCACCTGCTCAGCCTCCAGGAGAGGCACCGTAGGCCCCCAAGCCAGAAAATCCTGGATTCACTCCCTGGGAACAGCAACAGGTGTCACCGACCTCAAGTGTCTCTCTGACCTCTTTGTGGCTCGGTTTGCTCAGCAGTAAAATGGAGTGGACAGACTGAAGTCAGTGGCCCACTGATGGTGGGGCGGGGTGGACGGCCAGCACCGCTCTGAGCAGGGGACCACAGAGGGTGGCCCTGCAAGGGGTCAGGATCTGGGAGCCTCCCAACCACAGCCTCCTGTCCGGCTCACACCGTCACTGCAATGTCCCCACAGGCAGAGGAAGCTGAAGAGAGAGCTGGAGAAGTACAAGCTTTTTGAAGACTATCTGATTAAGGTCCTTGAGAAAATCCCCAAGGGTACGTACGTAGCTTCCTGTGTGTGGCCACTTCCTAGACTCAGGAGTGGAGCACAGTGTGTGGCCTCACTGAGCCTCTAGCTCAGTGGTTCTCAACCTTCTGGCCCTTGAAATACAGTTCCTCATGTTGTGACCCAACCATAAAATCATTTTCGTTGCTACTTCATAACTGTAATGTTGCTACTGTTATGAATCATCATGTAAATATCTGATACGCAGGATGGTCTGATGCGACCCCTGTGAAAGGGTCGTTCGACCGCCAGAGGGGTCGCGACCCACAGGTTGAGAACCGCTGCGAGTCTAGCTCATCTCGGGAGGGTGATCCATGGAGGCCGATGCCCAGGTGTTTGAGGAGGGCCCGGGCGCGGAGCCAGCCTGCCTGAGGGCCCAGGCCTGCCAGCACCGACCATGTGGCCTGTGGTAGGTTCTCAGGGTCGTGGTTTCTGAATCTGTGCGATGGGACAGCAGCAGTCGTGTGGACCAGGAGAACGCCTCTTTCCTAAGCATGTACCGGGGCCCGGCATTTAGCTAGCACCCAGGCACCGTGAGCTACTGTTACTGGTCTTTTGTTTGTCTTTGGTTTGTGTTTGAGTTTTGCTATTATCAACTAAAATTATGCAGACAACTGAATGGGTTTTTGTATCTTGTTTTGTTTTATCCTGATTTATACCAAAATCCACTGTTACAGTGCTGAAAACTTGTAAGGAAAGGTAAGGGAAGACAAACACGTTTTATTTTTATTTTTTTCAGAGAAGAAGGGAGAGGGAGAGAGAGAGAGAGAGAGAGAGAAACGTCAATGATGAGCTTCATGAATTGGCTGCCTCCTGCAGGCCCCCTACTGGGGATCGAGCCCAGCTGGAGTTCTGGGGTGCCAGCAGAAGCCCCATCTACCTTATTAGCATCGCCCACTGAAGGGGCGGGGGAGGGCCAGCTCTCGTGCCCACCCACCCCGCCCAGCACTGTCTCCATAGGTTACAATGAAGGGCAGGAGACGGAGGAGGCCCAGGAGGAGGCCCTGGTGGAGGCCCTGGTGGAGCATTATGGGAAGCTCTTCACCGTCAGCCAGGACATCCAGAAGCACCTGGAGGCCTTCTCCAAGATGAGCCAGGCCGTCCACCAGAGCCTGGAGTCCCTGGAGGAAAGCCATCGAGCTCTTATTCCGGTAACAGCTGCCTGCATCTTGGCCCGTCCCCACTGGCCCAGAGAGCGGGGGTCCTAGGGCCCCCTTCCCTCCCCAGCCCGGAAGCAGTGGTGGGGCTGTCACCCCAGAGACCTGCCCTGTATCCCTTCCTCTGTCCTCCCGCTGGCTGGCTTGGGGTTTCTCCTGAGGCTCGGCTTATGTTCACAAGGTGCTCTTTGTGGAAGAAAAGCCACGATTTCTGGACTCAGACAGCCTGGGGTTCAAATCCCAGCTCAGCCTTTCTAGATGCACAACCCTGGGCAAGTCTGCACCCACACTGAGCCTCAGTTCCTTCAGCTGTCAAATGGGGGCCATGCAACTTAGCCACTTCAGTGGTCGGCAAACTGCAGCTCGCGAGCCACATGCGGCTCTTTGGCCCCTTCAGTGTGGCTTTCCCACAAAATACCGACTTCTGCGCATGGGCCACGAAGTTTCAATCGCACTGTACGTGCGCGCCCACACGTGGTTTTGTGGAAGAGCCACACTCAAGGGGCCAAAGAGCCACATACGGGTCGCGAGCCTCGGTTTGCCGACCACAGCACTAGGTTGTTGAGAGACACCGAACTCAACCTGTCTCAGAGGAAGTGCCCCCACGAAGTCCTCTCTCTGTGCGTCCTTCTTGGTTAGTCTTGCAATAAACAGAACTTTCGCCAGGGAGGTTGGACATTCCAGGCAGCAGGAACTGCCCGGTCAAAGGCATGGCATGAATCACGTGCGTGCGGCAGCTGGGGCCTGGGGCCAGGGAGGGGGAGGGGACACCAGAAGGACAGGAAGGTTGACAGTTGACTGACTCTTGCAAAGGACCATTGGTGACGTTTGCAGCGAGTCCGCCCCCTGGTGGCAGCACTGAACACCTACACCGCTTCGCACCTTCCCTCCTTCCTTTGGAGAACCAGGGCCCTTTATGGCCGGCACCGCAATGAGCGTTTTACGTGCTTTATCTCCTTTAAATCTCGCTCGGCACCTCCAGGTAGGTGCTCTGTCCCAAGGGCTGAGCGAGGGCAGGTGAGTGAGAGGAGTGTGTGACTGCAGGGTTGGCTCCCATCTTTTTAAAAAATGGTAATATTTTGTTCATCGTAAACTTTTTTGCATTAATTTTGATTTTTTTAAAAATATATTTTTATTGATTTCAGAGAGGAAGGAAGAGGGAGATAATTCCCTCTTTAGTTTAACACCTTAGTTGCCGCCATGCTGTCCTTCCCATTTTCGAAGTGAGAAAACTAAGGCTCAGAGAAGTGAGGACACGGCGGAGGTCCTGTGTCTTCCAAACTCAACGGTGCCTGGAGGCGGGACTGTGCTCAGCACGGCGCGGTGGCCACAGCCTGGCTCCCCACTGTCCTCCCAGCAGCCCCTTGCGGCCAGGAGGGCACAGACCGATGGCTCTGGGTCTGACGAGGAAAACGGGGTTCTGGGGGCTGAGTGGGGATTCTGTCCCCAGGCGGCCTGGGCACGGCCTCTGCTGCACCTCCAGTGCTTTCACTGGCCCCGCCTCCCACCCCATCATCACTCAGACCGCCCTGGGCAGTGGGCTTCTCGGGCCTGGGCGGGCTCGCTGCCCCGAAGTGACCCAGCCCTTCTCCTCACAGACCCTCAAGATCCGGCTGTGCCAGCTGCAGAAGAGGTGCCACCGCAGGCAGGAGCAGTGGCGGTCGGGACATGGTGTCGCCTTCCAGAAAGACATGGGCAGCCATAATGTGAGTCCAGTCTGCTGGCCCAGGGGCGGGGGCAGGGGCGGAGGCTGCTGTCTCCTCGCCCCCAACACACACACACACACCACTTACCCGCTTGCACCATGGTGACTGCTAGCTTCCGAAGGGCTTCTCTAAGATGGGGGAGGTGTCACTTTACCGGCGGGAAAACCTGCAGCCACAGACCCAGCTCTACCAAGAACCGGAGCTGGGATCCCCGGCCCAGGCCCAGGGCCCGGCCTATGCTGGCTGCTTGATCGGTCCTTCCGTCATGCCTGTGATGAATAATAACGACATTGAAATGAGTGGTTGCTGTGCACTATCTTTGATCATTACCAGGGAGGGCTTAGCCCAAGGCCTAACCCAGAATAGGCACTCCGAACTATTGCTTGGTTTTCCCCATACCCATTTCACAGATGAGAAAAGTGGTGCTCAGGAGAGCAAGTCATGGTCGAAGTTCATGACCAGAGCCAGGATTTCTGAGCTTAGGCTCTCGAGCTGCTTCTTATTGGCCTTTGGAATGTGAATTCCTGACCCCCGCCCCCAGTCCTCACCCACTAAAAATGCTCAGAACTGTGGCCTCCCAGCCTCAGGGGCTGGGGCTGCTCGAAGGGCACAGGGATTGAGGCCTGGGGCACAGGGCTGCTCTGGGCACACTCCACCCGGGCAGGGTGTGGTCATCGGATGTAGGACCTTCCCAGGCCCCGTAGGACCCTAATTTGGAAGACATGAAAGTTGGGGTCTGTGGGCTGCTGGCTCCCAACCAAGGAGCTGGGAGAGGGAGCAGGCCGGCAGAGGTAAGAGCCCCTTCTGGGTCTTTTTAAGGTGGGAAGCAAGGCTGCCGCAGCTGATCGCCACCCCGGAGGCCTCAAGTCCAGGACGCAGGCGCTGCCCGGAGTGAGGAGCGCTGGGTGCCTCCAGGCCCCTGCCCAGCCCCTGCCCCAGGTGTGGACCACCGACATCTCCAGCCAGGAGGACCCTCAGACCCTGCGGGCGGGAGGGACTGGATAAAGCCCTTGGGGAACCTGCGGGCGGGAGGGACTGGATAAAGCCCTTGGGGAGTGGGGCACAGACCAGGATGAGCAGGTGGCTCCTGGCTCCGGATCACTTCTCTGACCTGAGAGAGCTGGAGCCAGGGGGCTAGGGGGCCAGGGGGCCAGGGGATTCTGGGAGAGGCCTGAGCCGCTGCCTCCCCCTCCTCTTCCTGCTCCTCTTGCAGAGCCAGCTGCTCAACTACATGCAAATGGCCATCGACAACATGGCCCAGCAGTGCTGCTCCTCCAACTGTGTGGAGCCCAAGAGCATGGGCCTCTTCTCCAAGCTCGACCTGATTCAGGTGACGCCTCCCTGCTTCCCAGGCTGGCCCAACCTCAGCCGATTCGGGGTGCCTTCGAGGTTAGCCCCCCATTAGCCCCTTTCTCCATGGCTGCATGGGCTCCTGGTGCCCGAGAGGTCTGGGGGTCTCCATTAGTCTCTCAGCAAACTTATGATGAGCACCTACAAGGTGCAAGGTTGGAGGTGGGTGTCAAAGAACTCCTGCCCTGCTGGCCTGTATGTGCAGCCCCCCACCCGGCACACCACACACTCACACACACACACACACACACACACACACACACTCATATATTCACAGGTGCTCTCTGCACACCTAACATACACACGAAACATACACTGACACCTGCACACACACACTCCAAACTGCACACACATGAGGTCCCACATTTACACGTGTGTATGCTGGGAGGGGCATTTCGGTGACGAAGGGAGCTCTGTGGCGAGTCCTCAATTTAAACTTCAGACTCTCAGTCAAGTCCATGGCAGTGTCCCTTCTCACTGCCCCATCGGCCCAAACCCCCATCCTCATAACGCAGATGCTCAGGGACAGGGAACCTGTGACCACATTGGCGTCCACTGACAGCAGAGCATATATATTTATTCTTATTTTTAATCACAATATTGTTGTGATGTAATTCAGATATCATAACATTTCCCCGTTTAAAGCGCCCGCTTCAGTGTTTTCAGTATAGAATTGCCCAACCATCATTAGTATCTAATGCCTGAGCGTCTTCATCGCCCCCACAGTACATGTTGCATCTGCCTTCTTTCACTTCACGTACTGTCTTCAAGTTTCATCCGTACAGGAGCATGAACCAATACTTCCTTCCTTTAAGTGGCTGAGAATAGCCCATTGTTTGGCTAACCCTCACTTTGTCTAGCCATTCATCAGTTGATGGGCATTTGGGTTATTTCCTTTTTTTTTTTTTTTTTTTTAC